ATATTTAGTTCACCCCAAAATGGGCCAGTAGTATTTACACATTTTCACTTACTGTAACTTCTGCTACTTGACTTCACGGAGTAAGGATCATTATGAAATTAATATTAGCCACAAAAGAGGTGCATATTTTGCAATAAATCATTTAAATGTAAAAATTACATAGACTGCAACAATTAACATTTTGTCAGAACCTCTAGTAGACAAGCTATTTTGTTTAGTTATCTGTAGGAGGATCATGATCTCTATTTAATACCAAAAAAACTATTTACAATTTATCTATATACTACATAGTGCAAAAAAATAAAATAAAATAAAAAAAATTGTTTAGAGCAGTTTTAATACAATTAAGCACTAGTCAAGCTGCAATATCAAACAGGACCACAAAAAGACGCCAAAAGATCACTAAACCTACTGCCTTGACCTGACTGTACAGGCTACTATACGGATCCATTCAGAATCTAAAAGACACCTTCAGGCTTCAGCAGCGTCCATTATAAAACATGGCCGGACTGGGACGGAATTTCAGGCCAGGAAATCTCACACTCATCCAGGCCACACAGAAAAAAAGGGGCCAAAATTGTACCTTTTGGGGTACAACAGCTTGACACTGGAGCAGTAATCTTAAAAGGACATCTTTGTACCTTTTTTTACCCCTAATAGGAACATATTAGTACCTTAGAGTAGTAATTCGTACCCTTAAGATACTAATTTGTAGGCCTACCTATTAGGGGTTAAAAAGGAACAAAGATGTCCTTTTAAGAGTACTGCTACAGTGACAAGCTGTTGTTCCCCAAAAGGAACAATTTTGGCCCCTTTTTTCTGTATATAGCCTATACATACACAACAATTTCTGAAACAACGGACAACCCTGTCACTTCTTCACCAGCAGGTCTACTGTTATGAACAGAACTGTGACCACTTTGTTGAAAACATTCACCTCATTTCAATTTGTTAGCAAAGAATGTTATTTATCTTAAAATGACTTAAATACCCTAGATTTAATAAACCTATATTTCATACAAATATACACTACCAGTCAAAAGCTTTTGAAAGATTTGTATTTAAAGAAGTCTCTTCTGCTCACCAAGCCTGCATTTATTTGATACAAAGTACAACAAGAGCAGTAATATTGTGAACTATTTTTACTCTTTAAAATAACTGTTTTTGATTGGAATATATTTTAAAATGTAATTTATTTCTGTGATCAAAAAGCTAAATTTCCAGCATCATTACTCCAGTCTTCAGTGTCACATGATCCTCCAGAAATCATTCTAATATGCTGATTTG